CGAACGACGCTTTCACAGGGGTCGCCTAAGACCATCCTGCATGTCAGATATTTACATTACGATTCATAACAGTAGCAACATTACAGTTATGAAGTAGCAACAAAAATAATTTTATGGTTGGGTCACAACATGAGGAACTGTATTTAAAGGGCCAGAAGGTTGAGAACCACTGTCTTAAAGAAACAAATAAGAAAGTAGGGTTCATAATTAGGGCTGCCTTTTGGGAAGAAAAAGCTAAGTATTGCTATTGCCAAATGATGTTTTTGATAATGTAAGGAAACACAGGGACCACAAGACCTTTTTTGTTTTAGAGTGTGAAAAATTAACTTAGTGCCTTTTGGCACACTTTTGATTGTAGAGGATAAATGGCATCAGCATCGACAAATCACATAGATACAAAGAACCCTATAGATTATGACAATATTAATGCTTTACCCTGATTCTGCAGAGCAGCTTTTTAAGAGATACCGTGGAGGCCCCAGACCAGCACATTTCAGGAAGAAATGCTCCACAGGTTGAAATGCCAAAAAACAGAAAACATATTGTGTTGACTCACATAATTTAGTCAGTTTTACTAGGGCTTTTTCAATGAAAACCAGTGACTGAGTATTGTCCGTGCTCTGCTCTCCCTGGGGGATTCTGGCTCCCTTCAGGCCGGTGAGAGCAGGCAACAGCTGTCAACACCCCTGTTTGACAGGCTGGTGCACCGTCCCAGGCGAGCCCTCCAGCCACACACTGGAAAGAAGAAGGGGGGATGCTTTTTCCTCGGTGTGGAAATGGAGCGATAAAAGTAGATTGTAAACAACAACATGACTCTGTATGTTGAAATGGTGCCCATGTCAGCTGGGCCTTCAGCAAATAACAAGCCAGCGGCTCTGAACAGTCCACCCCATTCACCTGCTCACGCTGAGGTTCGGGTCCGGCCTGCAGATGCCTGTCCGCTGTACTTCTGTGTGCCTGCTCCCTAGAGGTCTATGAGTTGGGAATGCATGGGGAAATGATGTACACCTGATAGTATTCCCATGACATAAACTGCCAGCAGACTTTCTACTTGTATTTTAACTGTTGAAAAACACAAAACAAAAACAGACAAACAAAAACAACCTTTTGCTTAGGTCATGTCCAAATTATGGACCGTATTTCTTATGTTTAGAAGTCATTCTTTACATTTAAATTTTTTAAAGGAAAAAACCACCTTCTGAGGTGTTGATCGAGTCCTCTGTGTAAATGTGTTCTCCCTCCATGCTGCCATTAAGCCAAATCAAAAGCTGTGAATAAAAAAAAAATGTGTTCAAGAATGTGTGTCAATGAGAAAGTGATTTATTTACAGATCAAAGTCTTTGTGTCATGAAGGTACCAAATTTTAAAAAGAATGTCATCTTTTTTTCCCTGTTGTGGGACCCAGAGATTATAAAAAGAAAAAAAGACCTTTTGTTGCATTTTTGATGTTGGCACGAGGTTTTTATCTACTTTTTTTCATATGTCTGTGTATAAAACATTCTGTCCATTGTTTACTCTGGGATTAGTATTACATTTTGAGGTAAACAAAAGAATTTGTATTGCTTGATAAACTGTTAGCCTGTAAATTTTCAAGGTTTCTTTACCTCAATTAAAGTAATGGACCAATAAATCTATAAAAGATGCTTTCTTTACCTTGAGTCTTGCTCTCGTGTGTACCCTTTTACAAGAGCAAAAACATGCACGTCTCTCTTTTGTTTTTCTTCTCTAAAGCTTGCCGGCAAATATCAGGATATATAGAGCAACCACAATAAAATATAATTGACCAGTTTTTATTCTTCACTTCTTTATAGACTCATCCTCAACTTACCGTCTCCTACATTTACTAGTTGGCACTGGCTTGGGGAGATGAAGAAACTGCCTAGTGTCTGTAGTGTAACCATGTACGAAACTGCGCATGAAACCAGGGTTGGCGGGGAGGCTGGCAGCCGGCCCAGGAGTTACAGGAAGGACTTCTTCCTACTCCATCCATAGCAAAGCACAACATCATTTTCTGGGACAGGGCCAGTCATCTCCTGATTTCTTTTTGACTGCTTAGTTGTTATTTAAAAATCCATAGGGAAAGAAGAAATGTCTGTGGCTCATTAGAGTGTTACAGTGTGTTGCAAAGTAGAGGCCAGAAAGCTAGGTTAAGCTTTCCTAATGATGGCAATGACCTGGAAGTGGACTTAAACTGGTGTTAAATTTGGCTTACTGATAGGAGATGTCATTAATGTAATGTAGCCATACAAAATGAGGCAGCAAGGTGGGTGAGGGAGAGAGATTTGGCATTACATTGCTATGTAGCTTTAGGCAAGCCACATCTCCGAATTCTCACCACAGAGTTGTTGTGATTTTTTTTTATAGAGAGAATATAATTTATTTCTGCATGTGGTTTGTATCACGTAATTCAGTTTGAGCATTCAGACCAGAAGCACATCTTTGTTACTCCTCGACAATGACCTGGGCATGAACTGAATCAACATGATTTGACCTCCTCAAATGTCCCATTAGGAAAATTTTATCTCTCAGCCAGGAAATTCTGCTTTTTGGAAACACAAACAGAGTGAGAATTTTGAGCAATAAATCAATCTAATAGTTGGAATGAAGACAAGGATATGACATTGTCCATGGAAAAGTAGATGCGATGAAGATCTGACAAGAGCCATGGCTGAGATAGACAGACTTGCTATAGACACCAGCAGGGGTGACTGCACCAGGCTAGAAGAGCAGAGAGGCTTGCAGGCTCCTCACACTTCGGGGGGGCCGGGCTGGCGCCCTCAGGAGCTAGGCTGGTGTATGCCAGTGTTGTGATTTGTGAATGAAGACATGCCTCCCCTGAAGAGTTGCTGATTGGACTAGCTTAATATATACAAAGCACCTAGTGTCTGCTAGGCACCCATTATAGGATAGCCCTTATGGGAAGACTTCCTAGGACTTGTTTAAATATGGCCAACTTAGATATTAAGGCTATTCCCATGATCATCCTTTCTGGATGCTTTGTCATTGAAAATTAAGAAGTGGGTTGTATACCTTTTTTGGGGGGGTGTATATCTTTTTCAACTGATTTCTTTTAAAAGGACGATGCAGGTAGTATGTGAAGGATTCGATGGGAATAGATTGCAAAAGTGGCAAGAAGTGATAGAAAGGAAGCTGATTGAAGAGATTTCTGTGGTGAGAGAAGGGGTCAGAGATGACTTGGAGACCGCCAGCCTAGGAGCTGGAAGGTGAACTATGAAATCAATCAGGAGGAGAATATAAAAAATATTAGAGGATAGGGTGGGAGAAGGGGAATTTGGTTTGGATTTATGTTTGAGGAGATTCAGGTGGAGGTGTTGACTGGATTATTAGAAAGAGAGTTCTAGAGTCCATGAAAGTAAACTAGATTACTTGGGAAGAGAACCAAGGACACGGATTTAAGGGACTCAAGAATTCAGGATGCAGGGATAGGAGGAGGGGGACTCAGGGACAGATTTTAAGGAGAAAAAAGTCAGGACCACAGATTAGAACACTGATTCTTAAGCATAAAGACTTGTGAAAACAGCAGTTGTTGGGCCCCACCCATAGAGTTTGATTCTGATGGGGCCCAAGAATTTGCATTTTAACAAGTTCCCAGGGATTGTTGATGCTGCTGGCCCAGGAACCACACTCTGAGAACCCCTGGGTTAGAACATCTGTTAGAAGAAACAAGGACCTGGGGAGAATAGAAAAAGTTGGAAACTGCTACCCTAGTGACAGCTGGGGTTGAAAAGGAGCCACTACTGGGGCTTTGAGAGCCCTACTCAGGTTAACCCCACAGTGTGTGGCAGGATCAATGTGGACAAATAAGGAGATTGTTCTAGATGTTCAGAGCAAGCTTTTCAGGAGCAGGAATGAAGAAGCCAGTGATTAGATTCATTCAGGTTGGGGGAATTATTCAAGACTGGGGTGGGAGGCAAAGAGTCAAGAGGAATGAGCTTATTGGTGAGAGTTTAGATGGGAGCATGGCCTTGAACCCACCTTCCCCATCCTACCTTCTGGGTTTATGTTGCTTGTCTCAGGGAGGGGCTCTACTTTCTTCCTACTTGCCTGAAACCCAAATCCGAATCATTCTTGCCCCATATCTATCACCACCTCCTGTTGACCTCTCGCTTCCAAATATTTTTTCAAGTCCACCTACATTTCTCCATCCTCATAGCTTCTTGCCCAATATCAGCCCACCATTATCCTTCACCTGGGCTACTGCAAGGGTGTCTCTGCTGGTCTCCTTTCTGCAAATCTGCTCACTCCTTCCCCTATCGATTCATCCTCGGTGCTGCCAGAAAGCTCTTCCGGAGATGCGAAGGGAAGCTTTCCGTGTTCCTGCTTAAGACCTTCCAACAGCTAGCCCCATTTCTCTAGAGTGAAACTGGTTTTTAGTTGGAAATACACTCTGTTAGGACACTACACTCTGTTGGGGAATGAGCAGTCATATTCTCGCTATATCTCAGACTTAGCATGGTGCCGGGACCTTAGTAGATGCGCCAAGAAGTTTTGTTCCTTCCCTGCAAAGGGTCAGAGATACAAAGCCTCTGAGCCCAGACGCTCTGCGAGTTAAGTGCATTCTCTAGCTCTAAGTATTACCCCAGTATAACAATGCTGTGTCTGTGGTTACAGAGGGAATCTGACCTGGGAAGAAACTGAGTCACATACTTACTATGAATGTTGATTTTATGAGAAGGCGAGTGTGCTTTTATATGTGTAAATAAAATAGGCAATAAAAGTACCTTAAAATATAATGGCTCTTCCTGTACTTCCTCCCCCCCTCCCTTCACACCACTCACTTTGGTAAGTATTGTTGACTGAAAGTATTCAATTTAATATTCTGTTAAAGAAAAAGTCTTGGAAATTGCTTCTTAAAAACAACAAGAACAATGACAACAAAACTCCCCCAAAGCCAAGCGCCAGAGCTCAGAATCTTTCCTGAGAATTCACAGCTAGCAAGGCCGCAGGGAAAAAAAAAAAAAGCTAACTTTTATCCAAGGTTTTATTTTCATTTAAAAAATATTGACTGATGTTCACTATTGGCAGTTCTTACAAAATATCCCTTCGACATTCCCCTTGGGCTGTTGGAAATGCATGCTTTGGTTTGAGGAGTTGCTGGAAGCTGTTTGGTTTGAGTTCTCCCATGGGACTCCTAGCACCGCACCCAGGTGACTAGTTAGCCATACCTTGGAGCCCGGAAGACAATTTCTGGAAAAGAGGCTGCTGCCTGAAACTCCTTGCAGCGTCTGGAATGGCTATGTGTGCAGCTTGCATGTACCATTAAAGTTCATGTTCTACTGCCCGCAGAACATGACCTCTGCTGTCAGGGGTGTCTGAAAGCTGAGACAGGTCTTCCATCACCAGGAAAGTGCTTTTCCCACCCACCAGGGACCCCTGAGCCAGAGCAGGTCACGTGAGGCTGACTGGCTGGAACTCAGGTTTCTCAGCAGTAGGTTGCTTTGGTCACCAGTCCCTGGTCCCTCCCTTTGTCTTCAGAGGGACCTGGCCATTGCTGGTGTTTGTAGCTCCTGTGGGTCAGCACCTTCATGTCTCTGTGATGTCTGCATGTTTCAACCATGAGGTTTGTTTATAGGCCATGATGCTGTAAGAATTTACAAGAGAAAATTATAAGAGAAGAGCTGAACTGGGGCAAAGATGAACTTTTTCCTCCTCACTGATGGTGGGGAGGGCTCTGGTCACCTCTTTATCACCGATAGACTGAGAGGCTATATCCTCTGTCCATCTTACCTCCTCTGCGTGAGGATGAACTTCCACAGATATCTCAAGGACAAGGGCCGCTAATCCCAAGTAGAATTAGCTGCCTCATCTTCTGCCTTTCCACAGCCTCTTTACCTCTTCCATGAGTCATTGCATTGATTAAACATATTTTTAGGTAAATAAATGTGTAGGACTGCATAGCTCTAAGTTGAACTCTTGGATTTGTGTGACTTTTGGTGTGTCCATCAGCATCTGGGGTCCTCAGGTTTCTCATCTGTTTGAGCTCTAGGTACCTCAGGTTCTAAGCTCTTCCTGGATGATATGGGACACTTGAAGCTGCTGGATGGGGTAGGAGCTTAAATCCAAACCTCAAAGGGAAAGCTTTGTGGAAAGTTCCAACCTCTCTGATTTCCCACCTTCCATGAGCCCCAGGATTCTACAGAGAGGGACACTACTGTCCTTAAAACGTATTCTTACAAAACTGGCAAGAGGAGAGCTGAGACTTGGAGGCAGTGAGCCCAGGACCATGTGATCTTTGGGGTGAGCCCTGACTCTGCAGCTGACCCTTCTGGTGGACCACTATAGCACAGCCACATGGTGATGGCCAGCCCCTGACTTCAAGGTCAGCCAACAGGCAGCACAGGATGTGGATGGTCAGCAGTAGTAGTAGGTTCCACTCCCTTTGACAGATCATTCATTCATTAAAAAAATGTACTTGGGTACTTCTTTTATGCCAGGTTGGCTACTGGACACAGAGGATACCTGGCAATCCAGTCATGATCCCTCCGGGGAACCTGCAGTCTAGTAGGCAAGTACATGAAACAGATAATCACTAAATAATCACCATCTGTCATGCTATGAAGAAAAAGTGTAGGTGATGTTGAACTCACATCATACTTCTGTGTGGCTTTTACCAGTAAATAGGCAGCATATACTAGAAGGGTCTATTTCAGATTGAGAAGGGGATTTTTCTCAAATCCTCTTGGAGAAAATGGTGTTTAAGACCACAGTGAGTTGGGTTAAGAAAGTTGTGTGGGTGAGGAAGGGGAAGAGCATGAGGGGAGGCTACTGAGGCTGAAGCATAGAGTTGGGAGGGTGGTTAGTGGCAGGAATAGGAGCCTAGAGAGATTGGCAAGGTCAGATGTCACAGGACCTTGTGGTCCATGGTGAGCTGTTTGGATTTATTCCTAAGAACATTGAAAGCCAAGTGCAGACCTTTGGGCAAGAGATGACATGATCTGATTTACCCTCCCAGGAAATTGCTCCGGCCACTTGGTAAAGAGAAGATGGGAGGCGAACAAGAGTGGATGTGGGGAGAATGGCTCAGAGGCTAATTCAGTCATGAGTGCTTTGGACTAGGAGTGGCAGGAGAAAGATAAAAAGAAAAGGATGAAGTTAAGGCATATTTTTGAGATAGAATCAATGAGGCCTGATGGATTGCAGGTAGAGGGAGGAAGCAGAGGGAGGACATTGGTGACTCTGATTTCTGCCCTGGGTGAGTGGTAGAAATGAGATGGGAAAGACTGGAGGGAGAACAGACTTAGGAAGGTGTCAAGAATCCAATTTTAGAAATTTAAATGATAACTTGAAATTTTGAGAGTACTTTAGATGACTTAGAAAATATGAAGTGAGAAGGCAACCCAGAGCAGAGCCCCAAAGATTCTTCCACTTGGAGGTTTGTGGAGAAGAAGCAATCATAGAGGTGGGAGAACAACCAGGAGAGTGAGGTGTTGAGAAAGGTGAGTGACAGTGACAAGTGCCACCCAAGGAAAGAGCGATCAACAGTGTTGGGGGCCACTAAGAAATCACATGAGGCGAGATTGCAGCGTGTCCACTGGATTCAGCTTGGCAGAAGTCATATCTTAGTGGTGAGAGTAGCTCAGGGGAGTTGAGCTGGGGACACCAGTCTGGTGACGGTTGCAAAGTGAATGGGTGGAGAGACATGAGACAGCATGTGCTGACCAGCCTTTGGAGAACTTAGCTATAAAACACAGGAGGAGGAGGGGGGAAAGGAGGAGAAGGAGAGAGGGCGGTGGATCATGTGTCAGTTCTGGTAGGAAGAAATCAGGAGCGAGATAGCAGCTAACTAGTAGTGGTCTCTCTGAGGAGATGGGAGAGGTGGCACCCAGACACCTGGTGATATTTCTAAGAAGCAATGTCATGTAGTAGGTAAAGGAGACTGCCTGGGTTCAAATCCTGTCTCTGCCACTTATTAGCTGTGTAACCTTTGGCAAGTTACATAATACTGTTTGAGGATATTAAACTAATTAAAATGGGGATAATAATAGAAATTACATTGGAGGACTGTTTGAGGATATTAAACTAATTAAAATATATAAAATAATTAAAGTAGTGCCTGGCACATATTAAGAACACTTAAGTGTTTGCAATTATTATCATTTTTTAAAGGGTGGGGGAGGAGAAGAATAGGATGGATGCACATGAAGGTAGGTTTGTAGATTAACTTTGGGGAAGATGGGACCATTCTCCTCTGATGGCTTCTGTTTTCTCTATGAAGCACGAGGCAGTAGCTGAGTGCATGTGTTGGGTGGGGAGTGGGTGGCAGATGGGCAGGGCCATATGTTTGTTTCCTCAGCATCTCCCTATTGCATATAAAGAAGAGCAAGCAGGAGAGGGCAGATTCCTCAGTAACGTGAAATTGGTACCAGGAACTGCTGGGGCCAAAGTCCCTTCTTGCAAATAGGCTGTTGGCAGCTGTAGCCCAGGGACCTCTCCTCCCAGCCTTCTGTCCTCCACGGATCCTCAGCTCTCCTGCTCTGACATGTCTTCCTGGCTTCTTATTTCCTTGGAATGTAGCTGTTCATTGTGTGGTTAGAGTTCTACTGGTCTTTCCTGTTGATGTCACTTAATGATTAATGGTACAGCCTTGGCCTGTTCTAGCTGTAAAAAGCCTTAATGATTGGTGGCTTCTGTCTCAGAAGGCCCAACTTCCTAGGCAGGCAGGGACATATGTTGTGATGTGATGTGAGAATTCAAAACAGGGCCACTTCCTACTTCTCCCACCTGCCTTCACTTACTTTCTGCCCTGCTGCCTACAATGCCATCGTGACTGATCTGTGCAGCTCTCGTGTGCTCCTCGGCAGGTCCCTTTAAAATGCAACTCTACATCAAATCCCTTGCACCTTATTGTGGATATTTTTATTGCATTCCTTTCTCTTCTGCTGGAATTGAT